CATAATAAAAAGGTCCACAAAATATCTACTTGTTGGTCAAATCCTCACACCTCCCTTCAGTCATAAGTAGCTATATGTCATTCTAGGAGCAGTAAATCATGGAGTCATAATTTTAGCTGGTAACTGACATTAAGTTCTTCCCACTGACGTTTACACAGGAAATCAGATGGCTTAACATCTCTGAAGCCTCCCAGCCCTACTTTCTTCTAATAGCGCCTGCCTGTGGCTAGCGACACCCAGGTGCACTTTACAAAGGAACCTTCCTGTTTGCACTCAAGCTTCTGGGGGCCTGCTCGTCGAGCCAGTCGGTTGCTGGTGGACTCATCCAGTTGCTTTTCCTTGTAACTGCCTGAGTTTGTTGTCGCTGAAGAATCAGACCACCGTGTCTCATCCTGCCACAGTGCTCGGGCCCTGTGTCTGATCGACTCGAACTCTTCAGAAGTTAAGAGGGCTAAAGGGCAAGAGAATTTCTGGAGTCAGATAGAAAAAGTGTGACATGGTATGGACGGGCTGTTCTGAATAACAGCTTTTCAAGCCCTGGGAATAATGAAGAACTCATTTCCTTCTAGTAGCAGGAAGCTATTGACTGGGTTGACCAAGCTTCTTAATTCTGACGGCTCACAAAGTGAAGCTTAACGGGCTTAGGTACAGTTGCCAGGCAACAGGTCACAAAATTCCACAAATACTACATCCTCACCACACACATGGATTTTAAAGAACAAATTTGTATGCTATAAAACTTCTGGTCATTGCTCTAAGAAATATACTGCTTCATAATTATGACAAGGAAGCACTTGACAAAATGATTTGCCTATTATGACTATCATAAGTAATGTGATAAATCTTAATGATGGCGGTTTAGGAACGGCGAGCAAGAAAGAAAAGCACAGGACCAAGCATTCCTCCCCTGAAGGCCTAGCCGCTCAGTGTGTGTGTGTGGGGGGGGACATAATCTGTTTGTGATGTCAACAACAGCAGGTGACTCAACAGCTTCTCACGTGTCCCAGAGCAGTGCTGTTCCTGCCCGCCGACCGCTGACCGGACAGCCGTCTCAGGCTGTTAAAATAACACGGAGCCCACGACCCGTCCCAGAGGTTCTGATGTAATCCTCCCAGAGGAGAGGCTGGACATAAATTATTTTTTAGAAGCCAAGTCCTGGAGGAGTCTAAGGAATTTCCAGTGTTGAAAATCAAGGTCATGGCAGTGTCGCCGAGAACTTGTTTGTGGCTGAGCGCAGCGTTCAGGCTTTGACTCACACGACCCTGCCCTTCCCCGTTGAACGCTCTACACCAATTATACTCGATTAATATGTTTACCTACCCACACTTCTCCAGATCAATGAACAATTCTTTGGCAAATCAAAATGAAATTGATCTTTCAATGTCTGTCCTTTATTTTCTCAACTCTTTAAAGAAATTTTTATTATTATTTCATGTGTTTGAGTGTATTGCCTATATGCATGTGAGTGCACGCGTGTCATGCAATGCTGCAGAGGTCAGAAGAGGGCTTCGGATTCCCTTGGAACTGGAGCTAAGGACGGTTCGTAGCCACCAGGTGGGTGCTGGGAATCGAACCTGGGACCTCTGCAAGATCAATCAGTGCTCTTAACCGCTGAGCCATCTCTCCAGGCCCTTAGTTTCTCAACTCTTGGACTGGTTCTGCTCAGCTTTTAGTGTTGGGTCAAGTAACCTGTGCAGTTATTTATAAAAACAGCTTCTGTGGCTGGAGAGATGGCTCAGCAGCTAAGAGCACTGACTACTCTTGCAGAGGACCCAGGTTCGATTCCCAGCATCCACGTGGTGGCTACAAACCGTCCTTAACTCCAGTTCCAGGGGAATCCGAAGCCCTCTTCTGACCTCCTCGGCATTGCACAACATGGGTGCACTCACATACATGCGGGCAATACACTCATAAACATAAAAATAATAAATAAAATATTTCAAAACAAAACAAAACAAAAAATCCAGCTTCTGGGCCTGCCTTCCAGGTTACTGCTCACAGTTGCTCTAGGAGTGGAGCTGGCCTCTGTGTTGACAAAATCCCCTCAGGTAATTGGATCACCTAGAAGTCACATTTCATGAGATAAGCCACCACCCTTGACTTCAGAGACAAGTATGAGGGAAACCCAGGAATCTTCATTTTCTATTTTAAAAAGTAGTTTTTTTGAGACAGGATCTCCCTGTAACCCCAGATGGTCTGGAATTCGCTATGTAGGTCAGGCTGGCCTCCATCTCACAGAGATCCACCTGCCTCTGTCTCTCAGTACTGGGATTAAAGATATGAGCCACCATGAGCAGCCTGATTGATTTCATTTTTAATGATGTGTATGGGAGGGGTGTATTTGCATGCAAGTGCAAATAGGTCAGAAGAAGATGTCAAAATCCCCTGGAATTGGAGTTACAGACAGGTGTGAGCCACTTGATGCTAATGCCAGGAACCAAATTCAGATCTTCTCCAAGAACACCAAGTGCTCTTAACCACTGAACCATCTCTCCAGACCCTGCATTTTTATATTATCACTGATTGTGATGTAATCCATCTTTGAACACAGAGTGCTATTTTAAGGATACGATCTTAAGACCTTAACGTAAAGTTGGCATACTGCCTGGTGTGTTTCTCTGGAATTATTGGCAAACACTGATAGTAAGTAACTTCAGGAATTTCCATAAAATGTTGACATTTTGAACATCAACCTCTTTGCTCCAAGAAAAGTACTAGACTATAGATTCGGCTGCTATCTCTCCCGAAGGCCTCTGGGAGAAATCCAGATGAGATGGAAAGAACACATAGCCAGGAGGTGGAGGATGGAGAAGTGGGCCACCCAGGTCTTTCTATCCCACAGTGTCAAGGAGCGGCTGCATGTGCACTTGAACTTTTGTTTACTTAAGCAAAAATGGTAGTTTTACTTAGAAAACTCTGCCAGCAATATGTATCATTTTGAGACAGGACAATAAACAAGACAAATTGTGAAAGACTAGTTGTAGAAAATGTTTTCAAATTTTCTTCTCAAATTACAAAGCAGTCTATAAACAAATATGGAATATAAGATCCTTTAAAAATAAATCATCCTGTAAGTATGCTTTATTATCACTATCCTGTTCTCTAGAATGCTTTTGTTTCCGTTTTTCCTCCTAGAATCAATTATGATATCATTTTAACAATTATAACCACCCCAGTGGTGACACTTGGGCTGGAGATGCAACTCAAGAGACCCAGAAATAAACTCCTACAGCTACAGCCATCTGGTTTTTGACAAAAGTACCAAAAAAATACACTGGGGGAAAAAAAGATAGTCTATTTAACAAATGATGCTAGGAAAATTGGATATCCACATGTAGAAGAATGAAAACATCTCTATCTAAAGATCTTACTTTGTACAAAAACCAACTCAAAATGGATCAAAGACCTTAATGTATCTGGAAATCTGAAACTGAGGGAACATAGGTTTATTTTAACACTTCAAGATAGAGCCACAGGTGAGGACTTTTTGAATAGAACTCCAATGGCTCAGGAAATAATAGCAAGAATTGACAAATGGGGTTGCATCAAATTAAAAGGCTTCTACACAGCAAAAGAGGCAGTCACCAAAGTGAGATGCCCTACGGAATAGGAGAAAAATTGTTGCCAGCTGTTCCTCCAATGGGATTAATATCCAGAATATATAAAGAACTCAAAAGATTAAACATCAAAAGAGGAAATGACCCAATCACTAAGTGAACAAATGAATTGAACAGATACTTCAAGTGAAGAAGTAAAAATAATCATAAATATGTGAAAAAATGTTTGACATTTTTAGCCATTTAGTAAAATGCAAGTTAAACTAAATTGAGATCCTCATCCCAGTTGGAATGGTCATTGTCAAGAAAATAAATGCTGGCTAGGAAGGGGTAGAGGTGGAGCCTTACACACTCTTGGTGGGGATGTGAACTTGTGCAAGGCTCCATGAAAATCAGTACAGCGGTGCCTAAAATATCAAAAGCAGGACTTATCACTGATCCAGATATATACCCAAAGGAATCAAAGTCAGCCTACAACAGAGATGCCTGCACATCCATGGCACTGTTCACAAGTTGTAGACAAGTTCTAGAATCAACAAAAAAGGATAAAAAATGTGAGATACACACATACTGAAATTTTATTGAGCCATAAATGATAATTGTCATTTTTAATATGTGCTAATAAAAATTTAAAAACAGTAGTGACACTAAATTTAAATATGTCACCAATTGACTCTAGGTGGAATTATGGATTATTTCATCAGTTTGCTAAAAGTCAAGTGGCTCTGTTAAAAAGATGGACTTGCTGCAAATACGTTGTTTGAATGCTTGCCTAGTATGGACAAAGCATTTGGTTTGATTCTCAACATTGTAATCAATTAGCCAGTCAATCAATCAAATGTAACGTTTTAGCCATAAGTGTCTATACAAATCCAAAAAAATCACAATTCTTTGCTTGTATTTTATCTGTATTCTTACACAGTGGCATCTGGGGTTGATATGCATGTTCTGACTTCCATCCTGGACTCTGCACTACAAACTTCCTTTTTTTGGCCAGTGAGATGGCTTAGTGGGTAAAGGTGCTTGCCCGAACAAGCCTGGAGACCTGAGTTCTATTCCTAGAACCCACATAAAATTGGAAGGGGAGCACTGACTCCATAGAATCGTCCTCTGGCCTCCACACATGCTGTGCCACATGCACTCTTCTATCATTGCATGCATGTGTGTGTGCATACACACACATACACAAATAATAATTTAAAAATTCAAAAAACTTTCCTTTTGTGACTGAATTATAGTGAGTTGTGTTTCTCAGCCACCAGTGTGTTAAATGTGACAAAATATCCTAATCAGGAGTATTAGTGACAATGAATTTGAGAGTGTGTTAGGGAAAACAGCCAAGAAACCTCACACCATGTGAAACCAGCAGGGGGAGTGCTAAGCACCCCAAGTAGAAGGACCTATGGAGGGCAGGTTCTCTAAATGTGGCTGGTTATTCTAAAGATGTCAACTGGTATTAATTTGAAAGGTTTCATGATGAAAGAGGTTTAGAACAAATTGGGATAAACATGTTTCTTAGCTGTAGGGCATTCCGGAGCTTTTAATATTTCAATGTACAATGTGCATCTTTAAAAGGGACCTAGATTATGCAGTTTTTCATAAATCTATTTGACCACAAACCTCTTCTCATGAGGCCATCTCTGGGAAGAGCAGTGCTCTCGAATAGTCAGGAACTGGAAAGGCTAGAGGCATCTGTAACTGAGACAATGACTCATCTACAGAGTCTAAAATTTACTAGATCATAAACAGATCTCTAACCCAAGGCACTAAAGCCTGACAACAGAGAGGATCAAGTGTATTTTTTAAAAACTGAGAAATAATGTCGGGCATGGTGGCGCACACCTTTAATCCCAGCACTCGGGAGGCAGAGGCAGGTGGATCTCTGTGAGTTCAAGGCCAGCCTGGTCTACATAGTGAATCCAGGACAGCTGGGGCTACAGG